CTCTGCCCTGCAGCCTCGCAGATTTAAGCAGAATCTTACGAAGCAAGACACCCTCCTGTCACTCCGAGGTCCTGGAGCTGCCGCTGATCTTCGGGAGGTTCGGGATGGTCTCATTACGTTTCCAGGTCAAGCTTCTTTGGAAATCAAGAGTCTTGGGTCTATTATGAGTTCGAAGGCGTCTGGATTTGGGCAAGAATTGAAGTCTCGGGGATAAGCTTTGCATCGAGCCTTGTACTCTCTTGGAGGCTTCTTGAGTGTTCCTGGAGTCCCTCATCGGCTTCGCCGTTGAATATTTATTTCAACGATATACAATACTGCACTATCTGGTCACGAAGGCTTTACGCCAAGCCCGCAGGAATTATATAGGCTGAAAAACATGGTTGCAGGGTTCGCTCGACGGGCGATGGGAGGGAGGGCGTGTGATAGAGAGGCTCCAGGACACCCGCAGTCGATGACCTCTGCTGCTGTGCTTCGCTGGTGGCGTCTTGTCCCGCTGGATACGGAGCTTATCATCCGCCGCCTGCGCAACTGGCAATCTTTGTCGCGTGCGCCGCTTGCCAACCGGCAAGTTCTCACCGCTCTCCTTGGGTACTTTGAAATTGCCCGCCCAGTGGTGTCGCCCGAGGGGCGTCTGGCGAGATGGGCTTGGCCGTGGGCCGACAATTGATTGCCGACGTTCATGCCCTTGCTGATTTGGACGAGGGCGCGTCTTTCATCGAACGTCTGGACGATCGAGTGTTTCTCGCCTTCTCGAACCCTGAGGTCAGTGAAGAGTTCTGCAGAATCGATCCTCGACAACTTCGATCGCGGGTACTCGGGGTCCAGGTTCCGACCGTTGAGTATTTGGATGCGGAGGAGGTTCCAGGGATGCTCCAGGATGATGCAGGTGAGGGTGCTTATCGATGTTCTCTATTGGGTCCTACTGGGGAGGTCGGTGGGCGCATCTTACGGGATCGGCGGGCGGTACACACACATCATAGCACATCATGGTTTCCAAGAGCTAGCACACATCATGTCCGTGTCGAACCACTGCTGTGTCTGTGGGCTTGTCTTTGCACATCGGGAGAGTTGTCGTCGCCATCTTTCGCAGAATCTCAGACGAGGAGAGTGTGCTGCCGATGCTACACGCAATCTTTGTGAAATTCGTGTGCCGTCGTCTCTAGCGTGTCCATTGTGTCCGTATGTAGCTGGACTGTTCGAGCATTTGCAAGAACACCTTTGCACGCATCTTGAGACACTTCCCCGGGTCCCTCCGCGCCATGGATACGAAGCCGGCCTGGATGCTGGCGGGGGAGGAGCCGAGGCAGACGACCAGGCGCGTCGGCGACACAGCCGAGCAGTTGGTGGACCAAGCTTCGCAGTCTGCCAACGGAGGCGGGAAGCAGGCGATCCTCACGCAATTAATCGTCATGTTGACCAAGCTCGCGTTGAGCAACGCAGCGGAGCTGCGCGAGGTGTGCGGGGCTGTTTTCCAGACGTGGCTGATTGTCTTGACGAACCCTGCAGCGCGCGGCAAAGGCCGCGGGAACGGCCTACCATACCAACGTTCAGCAGATGAAAGAGTCGGGCTCAGGCATGGAGGACGATCTGGGCCCTCCTTTCCTGCACGCGTGGAGCGCGTTCATTCACGGGATGGGCACGGACCCGAAGTGCCCGCCCGAGGCCAAGAAGAAGCTAGAAGAGTATTGGACGAACGTAGTCATGAAAAAAACAGTGACAGAGTTAGCCAACGAAGTTCGGGCTTGCAGAATCCGCCCCACCGAAAAAGTAGAGAACAAACCCGAGCTGTTTCGAATCACACTCGCCGTCGGCGCACAGTATCGGTGTTTGGAGCAGGCGATCGAGGTTGATCTGACGAGTGGGGGGATTCGCAAACATGGGGGTGCACCCAAAGGATCTCTCGAACGGGATGCAGCTCGTCTTTTGGCGCGGTTTCAGAAGTGACAGCTGCTGCTGTGCCTCTTCCTCGTCCTGCGGGTGGGGATGCCGTGAATCCAACGAGTCTGGCTCGCGCCCTCGTTCCGCCAGCATTCGTGGGCAGTCGCCGCTTTTGGGAACTGCAGGCTCGTGGGGATCTCGAGCTGTCAGTCGTAGGCGCCAGCAGCGAAGGGCCGAGGAGCTTCTCGCCACAAAAAAGTCCGGGGGCGAGGACAGGCTCTTGCGCCGAGGGACTCTGCAGGACAAGGGGTTAGGGTCTCTGCAGCACAGCCCAGGGCGACACCCCCAGGACGTGCTTAGTGCTGAGCGTGCGGGGCCTGCTGGGCCCTCCTCCCCCTTCGCCTCGAGCCTCGGCCCTTCTTCCCGGGGGTTCCTGATTCTGGCCTGTCCTGTGGGGGTTGGCTTCACCTCCTACTGTGCGTTTTGAGCTCCCCCCTGTAGGACGGGAGGGCAGTGCCAGGCCACCCCTCGAGCGGTCAGCACCGCCTGGGCGAGGCATTGGCCCGGGTGTCCCCCACCTGCCGGGCGGGCGAGCAGTTCGCCACTGAAGGTCACCCAGATCCCGCCTTTGCTCTCTTGCACGCTGTTTGCAGGTCGTAATGTGTGCTTGCAGTCATGCTGCACTCTATGGCTCCGAGGGTTTCTTTCTTTCTTTTCTTTTGATCCCGCCTCCGTTCTTCCTCGAGCCTGGGGCATCACACCTTATCCTTCTATCATTGTCCTGTGAATGGTTCTACGCGCGCATATCCCATGTAGCTTGCACAACATATGATGGCGCCTGCGCTGTCGCTGTCCAGGCATGCTTGGACCAACTCCTCTTGTCACTTGATGCTGATCGGTTGGATACGTCGCAAGGTAATTTCCAACCATCCTGTGGTCTTGGGTCCTCGTTTTGAAGAGACAGCGCTCAGCGTCCACCCCTCCCCTCTCCCCTCCTCTCGCATTCTCTCCTCTCCTCTCCTCCCCTCCCCTCCCCTCCCCTCATCTCCTCTCCTCTCATCTCCTCTCCTCTCCTCCCCTCTCCCTCCCCTCCTCTCCTATCCTCTCCTCTCCTCTCCTCCTCCGTCGTTCCATGCCTGCATCTGCTCTCCGCAAGTCCCTACTTCGGCACACCCCTCGCACGTTCCGTGGTCACACCGGGAGCTCCACCTAAGGCCCCACTGGCAGGATCCACATGGGTCCGCACGACCAACATGGGCACACCCCTCGCACGTTTCGTGGCCCCGCAGGGAGCTCCGCCGAATGCCACAATAGCAAGGGCTACATGCGTCCGCACGAACCATCTCGGCACACACACACACACACACCTCACATGCTTCGTGGCCCCGTGGGGAGCTCCACCGAAGGCCCCAGTGGGAGGGTCCACATGCGTCCACCCGACCACTTTCGGCACACCCCTCACGCGCTTCGTGGCCGCACAAGGAGCTCGACCCGAAGGCTCCAATGGCAAGGCCCACATGCGTGTGCACCACAAACTTCGGCGACCTCACCACACGTTTCGTGGCCCCAGAGGGATCTCCACCTAAAAGCCCCAGCGGCAAGGTCCACATGCGTCCGCCCTGCACGTGCCAGCTCACCCCTCACACGTTTCGGGGCTCCATGGGGAGCTCCACCGAAGGCCCCAGTGGCAAGGTCCACATGCGTCCGCACGACCCATGTCGGAACACACCTTACACTTTTCGGGGCCCCATGGGGGGCTCCACCGAAGGCCCCCATGGCAGGGTTCACACGTGTCCACCCGACCCAGTCCGCCACATCCCTCACACGTTTCGTGGCGCCATAAAGAGCTCCACCGAAAGCCCCAACGGCAGGGTCCACATGCGTCCGCACGAAACATTTCGGGTCACCAGTCACACGTTTTGAAGCCCCCTGGGGAGCTCCACCGAAGGCCTCAGTGGCAGGCTCCACATGCGTCCGCACGACCCATGTCGGCACACCTCTCACACGGTTCGGGGCCCCATAGGGAACTACACCGAAGACCCCAGTGGCTGGGTCAATATGCGTCCATACGACCAATGTCGGCACACACACACACCTCACACGCTTTGGGGCCCCGTAGGGAGCTCCACCGAAAGCCTCAGCGGCAGGGTCCACATGTGTCCACCCGACCAATTGCGGCACACCTCTCACACGTTTTGTGGTCCCATCGCGAGCTCCACCGAAGGCCTCAGTGGCAGGCTCCACATGCGTCCGCACGACCCATGTCGGAACACACCTCACACGTTCCGGGACCTCAAAGGGAACTCCACCGAAGGCCCCAGTGGTTGGGCCCACATGCGCCCGCACGACCAATTTGCACCCTCTCACACGTTTCGCGGCCGAATGGGGAGCCCCACCGAAGACCTCCGCGGCAGGGTCCACGTGCGTCCGCCCGAACCATTTCGCCACACTCCTCACACATGGGGGGCTCCACCGAAGGCCCCAATGGCGGGGTCCACATGCGTCCGCACGAGCCATGTCGGCACACACTCCTCCCACGCTTCGCGGCCTCACTGGGAGGTCCGCCATATGCCCCAGCGTGAGGGTGCACATGCGTCCGCACGACCCATGTCCGCACACCCTTGGCACGTTTCATGACCCCGTAAGGAGCTCCACCGAAGGCCCCAGCGGGAAAGTGCACATGCGTCCCCCCGACCCATTTCGGCAAACCCCTCACACATTTCGGGCCCCATACAGGCGGTCGGAAGCTCCACCGACGACGACTCTCATTTCTGCGTTACTCACACATGCATATGGTTGGGTCTTTCGCCAGGACAAGGCATGCCGATCATCCAGCCGATGCACTCGTCACTCTGTCCACCGCGGACTTTAGGAATGGAACGTGGAGCGATACGAATTAACCCCACGGGCGAATCAGCGCCAGGCGGGAGGAGGAGGAGGAGGAGGAGGAGGAGGAGGAGGAGGAGGAGGAGGAGGAGGAGGAGGAGGAGGAGGAGGAGGAGGAGGAGGGAGAATGATGAGATCAGCAGCAGGGAGGAGCGGCCATACCATCGTTGTTAACAGGTGTCCTTGAGCCCCCCTCTGCACCAGAGAGCTTCTTACACCCCCCCGCCCCGTTCGACCACTATCGATGATGTATAAGCAATCGCCTTCATCTCCTTGCCTGATGATGTCGATACCGTCGCTGATCTCCTGCACATGTGGGGCATACCATGTACATCAGAATCGTACGTTGCAGAAAAGAGTCCGCAGCGGATGTGACAATCACTGAACAGGGACACTGCACTTCAAACAACCATGCCAACATTGCTTTGATGTACCGCGAACAGCGTTACCAATCGAATGCTTAGCCGTACGCTGCACGTGATGTATGAGGTTGTAGTGGGGCGATCGTGAACTATGAGCGACACGGACATACATATCATATAATAGGATCCACGCGCGCGCTTAGAATCTAGCCCAGCCAATGGCGCTGTGATGACACGACGGTATATGTTTGCGGGCGACTCGCTGTCGGAGAATGGTTGCGACCGTCTTGGGCCGATTATGCGATGCCGCAGGGCTTCCTTGGACTGGCTTTGGGGCCGTTTAGGCGCTGCCTTGGGAGGGGGGGCACGTGTCTTTGACCCCAATGGCGCCGTCCAGGGCTAGAATGTTGTCACGACGCCCAAGGCTTAGGTCGGGCATGTCCTCCTACAGGCGGATTTTGCAGGACAAATTGTCAATAGTCCAAACATAATCCAAAACAGTGAAAATGGTCAAACAAATCGTCCACAAAACTATTTGTTCGACTATTTTTGAATCTCCCTCCCTGTAGAGAGAGGGACACGCCTGACTTAACCCAAGCCTTGGCCTGCGGCTCGTCGGGGAGATCGCCGAACAACCTTGGGGCACCGACGGGCTTTCCGACGAGATGTCGAGGCCGTAGTTTGCTTGTCTTTGGTTATGTTGTTCCCGTCGTACTTGAGGACCACGCCCCAGAAATAGACGCCCCCGAGAGGTCAACCACGAGATCCCAACCAACATCCATAAGGCCTCCTCCTCCTCCCCCTTCACCCTTCCTCCTCCTACTCCCTTCCGCCTCCTCCTCCTCCTTCTCCTCCTCCTCCTCCTGCCCCCCCCTCGTGTTGTCTTTCGTCATCTTCAGGGTCGGCGGCAACGGCCGTAAGGCCTTCGCAATAATTTCGAGCACCCAGTCAAGTATCGAAACAATGTCGAACGTGTCTCGTCTCCGAGGGTCCGACACGCGAAGAACCTCCAACTTCGGTGCTTCCCTGGTGCTCGAAACTCTTTCTGGTGATCAAGGCTAAAGCAGGTTGGAACATCAGAAGTCTGTGGATGTCGTCACATGTTCTTGGCCTGTCTGGCCGAGCATGTGCGGGAGGGGCGAGGAATGGCGGAGGAGGGGGCAAACACTGCCTTGAACCAGAATGCGCGCGCTGCCATGCCAGCTGGCGGAGCACGTGAAGAATGCCGGAGGACGCAGGGCAAACTGCCTTGATACATAATGCACGCGCTGTCACGCTGGTGGCAGAGCACTTGCAGGAAGATGGAGAAAAGACGGAGGAAGGAGGGAACGCAACCTTGATATTGAATGCATGCGCTGTCACGCCAGCTGGCGGAGCACGTGCAGAAACTTCTCCTGGTCGCACCGGCAGGGCCTCAACTGTGCCTTCGTTGCCGAACAGCTTTCGAGCCACCTTCAGCCGTCCTTCGGCATTCTTTGAGCCTCTTGACGGACGCATGCTGGAGATGGGGTTACGGGAGTCTTTGGGTGCCGTTTTGGAACCCTCTTGGGAGCTTGCATGGTCATCTTGGGAATCTCGCGGGGCCGTTTTGGGGGCCTCTTGGGCTGTCTTCGAGCCTTGTCGAGGCCGTGTCGAGGCCGTCTTGGGCCCATCTTGTGCCGTCTTGGAGCCGTCTTGGGCGGTCGGAAGCCAGGACGAGCGAAAGCACACAAATTCTTCAAACATCTCAAAAACAATTGGCCTCATTAAGGGCTCTTTGGGGCGCGCCAAAAGCTCTCCTGGGGTGTCCTGGGGACCTCTTGAGCCGTGCTGAGGCCATCCTGAGCACTCTTGGTGCCCTTTTGGGCCATCTTCGGCTTATGTTGGTTCTTCTTATGCGGTCTTGGGGGTATCCTAGACTGTCTTGGAGGCCACTTGGGCCGTTTGGATGCCTCTTGGAGGTCCTGGAGAGGGGGCATCAAACAAGGGGGCAAGATGGTAGCGAGGTGCTGGGCCCCCGGGCGAGGATTGAGGTCCGAAACTGCTTTGTCTTCGGGGGCTCTCGTCGTCGCCGCGGCTGGACGCATCTCGAAGCGACGTTTTTTTTGCGAGGAGGTGCAGGACAAGGACGGGGATGGAGATGAGGAGGCAGAAGCATCAATAGCAATTGGAGCAACAATTGGGCCGCCCTGAAGCCGTCTTTTCGGCGTCTCGGGAATCTCTTTGGGCCGTCTTGAGCTCACACCACCGTCCGCACTTTGGATGCCTTGGAGTTTGGAACTCGATACGTGATTAAACACAAGAGCTGGACCAACATTTATGCATGTAGCGTATTTGGGCCTTCTTGGGTGTCCTCCTGGGGGCCACTTCGCGCCCTCTCGGACTGTCCTGGGACCTATTTGGGGCGTCTTGGACGGCTTTGGCTGTCTTGGGGCCTTGTCGGAGCTCTCTTAGAGGGCTCTTGG